CAATTTGTCTAGCCAAGGATCAAGTCCATCATGAGAGAACCAAGCATATTGACGTAAGGTATCATTTTCTGAGAAGTGAGAAGAGAATCAAGGTGAAGAAAGTAGGAACTGCTGATAATCCTGCTGATATGTTTACAAAGCCGGTTCCACAGAGCAAGTTTCAACACTGTTTGGACTTGCTCAACATCAGAAGCTGTTAATTGCCCTGCGGGGCAACTCTGAGGAAGAGGGGGAGGCCTGACACTATCATAGTGCGTCTGAAGAATCTGTTCAGAGAATTCAAGTCAAGGTGGAGATTTGTTGAATGCCTTGAATTGGGCCCTTAATTTTCTATTGATTCTGTATGTTGGGCCCAAGCCTGTTAGGGCGTAGCTTAGCACTATATATAGACGCTATGGGAAACCCTATTCTGTAATTCTGTTTTTGCCTCTCCATAATAAAACTGCTCCCTCTCTTCCCGTGGACGTAACCAATTTATTGGTGAACCACGTAAATCTGTTGTCTTGTTTTTCGCGTTTATATTTTCTCGTATTATCTCAAATTCCGCACAACACTTTCTCAAAAAACTAATTAACAAGGTAAACATGCACTTCCATATTTGCTTATTCTCTTTTGCTTAAATGAGCAAGATATTCAGCTGGTCTTCGCAATAAGACTTTCGTGCAAGAGCAATCAATGGACATAGATTATTTTACCTATTATTCTCATGTTCTCAGACTTATCATTAGGTTGGTTTGGTTTGGTTTTTCATTAAAAAAGATCTAAACTAATTATTAAATCTAAAAACCAAATCAAACCATGTAAAGTCGTTTTTTTCGGTTTTGGCTTTAGTCGGTTCTTTCGATTTTTTACAACTACGGTGTTTGAAAAAATGATCACTTATCTGTGTGATAAACTAAAGTTAAAAATTGTTAAGTGCTGATGTTCATTGCAGACAGTACCTGATTCAAGAAGGCAAAAATTCATGGTTGAACTTCAAAAGCTAGTTGCGAACTGGCCTTTGGAGAGTGACAAAAGGATGAGAGGGAGGAAGAAGGTAAGCTCTTTATTCTTTTTATTTTGAACATACTAGTATTATTGTTTTGATATTGCTCTGAAATGATTTAGTGCTGACGTAGGACGTTAGGAATTTTATTTTGTTTGTTCGTATTTATGGGTTACCCGTTGGATCTTAGATAGCTTCTATATAGTTTCCTGTATTTTTTTCTGATCCCAGTTGACGTACTGATTCTGTTTTCTTCAAAACGTGGCATGGGTGTCGTCTTCTGCTGTTAAGTGCGTATTCAGGTGTTTGTATATTTTACATCCTCTCCTCAAACCAGTTTTCTTTTATTACACTACTAAACCAGACATTACATCCTCTCCTCAAACCCGTTTTCTTTACACTACTGCACCAGACATTAGATTATAAGAAAAGTGCTTGTATCTTTTTAGATCTTTTCTTAGAGAGCCGCATAAATAGGGAAAGTTACTGGTTGGAATATTATAAATTATCTTTGCGAATTTCAAATGTAAAATAATTAGAAGACAGCTAACCTACATAGATGAAGAATATACAAATACAATACTCATGTAGTAACTTATGCACATGTTTCAGTCTTTGCAGCTGTGACACAGCTTGAACGTAGCCTCAGAATACTCACCATTACCAGTTAGCTTGAGTGAGGATTCTTTTGAATCCTGTAACATTGAATTACCATTCTCATTAATTGACGTTGGTAGGTTTGTTCTGAATTATGTTGAAGGGAGGGGGGAGGGGGCTTCAGTTAGTTCAAAGTTTTTTTTTTTTCATATAGATGGGTCTGACGTTGCAGATAGAGATGGAAACCCTGAAGCAGTCGGAAGGTTTTGTTTGAAATCTCAAATACCTTTATCTTCACAGTTCAAGATCTATTTTGCTTTGGACAACATGGATATCCCTGCAATAAAAGTAGAAGTAGTATGTTTTTACTCGACTGGGAGTCTGAACTTTTTAGCTGTATTTAAAGATGTGGGTTGTATGTTAGGGGCATCTTTCTATGCTTTATCTGTTGTTTTTTGTGGAAATTGGATTCGCAAAACTAAACATCCCAAACATGTTTAGCAGGAATGTAGCATTTTTTATACTACTTTTGGAGTTAAGATGACGTTCGTGCCTTGAACTATGTATGGAGTAAGGATCAAAATACCCTCCTGACTCTGGTGTGTTCAATTTATGTTCTTAAAATGTTTTAGCCCAAGTAGCTTCCATGTCCAGCCATTAAACAGCTAACTCTAGTCTCTTCTTATGTCCATTTCTTTTTTTCTAAATTATTGTATCACAAATAAATAAAAGAGGGATATAATTTCTTAACTGTTCTAAATAAATAAAAAGAAGGATAGAATCTAATTTCAACTGATTACACATTGTTATAGGCTCATAACTGGATCTATTTGACCAGCCTTACTTAACGTGTCTTCTTTGTTATTTGCCGGTGTTTTCTTTCTTTGTGATTTCTTGTCTCTTTTCTTGTTTTCAGAAATTTAGTGTACTTTGAGTTGCAATGTCCACCATGCTGCTTCTTGTCTTCTTTGAAGGCATCAACACCACTGCCTCTTTGAGTTCTAGGTCGATATTGGGACCATAACTTTGCTACACTCTGACTAAAATCAACTCGTATCCTTCGATCATCAATTTTAGTATTATCCATCTTAAAATATGCTTGCTCGCATGACTCCTTGTCCTCGAACTCGATAAAAGCATAACAATGGCTATCCCCAGTCTTGTGATCTCTGATAATTTCAACAGATGTCACGGTTCCAAAGCATGAGAAGATTATATAGAGTGCTTCCTCTTCAGTTGAGGGATTTAATTTACAAACAAAGAGCACATTCTCAGGGGGTTTCATCTCAGCATCAGGAATGTCTCCTACACTTTCAAGTATTACTGCTCGGGAGTGTGCTTCCTTCTCTTCACCAACACCTAATTCCTCATCCTTTGGCGTCCAATCATCCTCTAGTCGAACATCATCATCATCATCAATCTCATCTTCCGGCTTTCTTTCAGGTGAAGCATCTGGAATCAAGTCTTCTAACTGGGAAGGATCATCGAAAGGATCATACAATAGGTAAGTGTGTTTGATTCGTATATTTTGATGAGGCTTGCCCTTGTCATCGACATAAGCTTCATTGATCCTATTTAGCGTGTCAAACCCTTCTGTAATCTCTCCGAAAACAGTATGCTGTCCATCAAGTGAGTCTAGATCATCACGTAACGTGATATAAAACTGGGAAGCATTTAGATTCTTCTCACCAATACCAGTGCTAGACATGGCAACCGTTCCCTTCTTTGAATGCTTCAGGCGTGGATGAATCTCATCTCCAAAAAAACGAGCTTGACTCCCGTATAGAAATTTGTATATCGAATCTCCTCCGGATCCTGTTCCAGTTGGATCTCCCGTTTGCATGGTGAAGTTCTTCCGAACGGTATGTAATAGACAATTATGATAGTATTTTATCTTGCATAATTTAAGAAAATTTTTGCATGTCAAAGGACATTCATCGGTAAACAAATCAATTACCATATCCCCCAAACTTGTTACAATCATGACAGACATAGCGAAATTGAGGAAGAATTCGAAATTTCTGGTGAATACAGAGAAGAGGGACGAATAGGGCTGGCTTTATTTATAAGAAAGAAAGTAACGCGGTCAAACTGTTACTATAGTAATTACATATACTTAAAACTATTCCTTTTCCTTATACATCAAGGACTTGTTTATATTTATTTTTTTTCCTTTTTTTTTTTTTACTTTAATTCATATTTTTTATATTTTATGATTATTTTTTGCACTTTAATATTTTTCTTCTTTGTCGCAACCCATACAAGTTGACTTGTGCAATATCATCAATCTTAATTCAACCAAAAAGCTGTGCAATCTTTGACAATTAAATTTAGGGGTTAATAAGATCGTTAAGAATGTAAATAATCTTTATTTTACGTTTATATATTATTTTGTAGAATTAGAAAAAAGAATGCCACAACAAAAGAACTATTGCAAATAATAATAAGTTAAATGTGGTAGAGACATGCAAATCGTTGCATAACGAAAATTGAATATATTTCTTTAACAATGGTTGGAGGAGAGACAAAATAGCTCTTGTTAAATAATGCGTGGATGCCAATCATCCTCATGTATCAAGCTCTAACCAATAATGTATCATGACATATATATATATAGATTTGTACAAAAATTAAAGAATGAAAAAGTAATGATTAAAGCATAAAAATATGTGTCGCATGCCTTTTTTAATCAGATCTTTTAACTAAAAAATTGAAGTTATGTATTTTGTATATTGTCATTACAGCCGCACTAGAGTAACTTTATCTTTGTACAATTGTTTCGCCTTCACTTTCGTTCTATTTGTATCATCTATTTTTTCACTTTTGTATTATTCATATCTAACTTCGCTTTTCTAGATTCCTGAATGCCTCAACAAAATCAAAATATTCATTATGTATTTTAATAAGTTTCTGACTGTGGATGAAACAGAGAGAACGATGAACAAGAAAAAGAAATTTGAATTTAAATTTTGCATTTTTTTTTGTTCCTTTAAATGTATGACTAAATTCTTGACATCAATTTGAAATGGAATAGCACAATTCATAGAATCTTAATTTGATTTTAAGTTTTTTTTCTCCCTTTATTAGCGCAACAGATTGATATTATCGGATCTTAATTTGATTTTTACTCTTTTTTCCCTTAATAAGCTCAATAGATAGATATTATCCATAATATTGTATCCTAAATTATGTATTCGGAATGCCTAAAAACATGACATTTGTGTATTACAAAAAGAATAGAATAGAAGGTAATTCCACTCTTACTTGTGGAATTCTTAAATTTCTTACTTAAATTTATGTTTTTTTTATTTAACAAAAATGAGATAACTATTCTTAGTAAGATAGTGAACCAATATGAAATGGAGGGCGTATCTTTTAAATTAGGGATAATGGTATACAATGACAAACTAATAATATAAAATAAATATAGTAGCTACCCTTTGATTTATTTGTGTTCCATAGCAAACTGTTTGTCAGTCCCTCTCTCCTTCATATTCTTGCTCGCCACTCTCCTTCTCTCGCTCGCTTATTCTTGTCGCTCGCCTCTCTCACTTTATACAATAGAATCGCATAAATTGTGTTTTAATTGTATAAAGCGAGAGAAAATTGTATAAACACATGCAATACATATATTTTTGCCCTATACACTTATAATTATACAATACAAATATTTTCCTCCCCAAGTCTCTTTTGCTTTTCTCGTTGTATACAAATTCAAATTGTATATAATTTATCTCTTTCTCATTTTATACAGTTCGATTCAATTGTATATTCCTGCACAAGTCTCTTTTTGTCTTTCTCTCTTTCTCGTTTATACAAATTCAAATTGTATATAATTTCTCTCTTTCTCGTTTTATACAATTCAATTATATCTTTCTCACTTTTTCATTTCACACAATTCAAATTGTATATAATTTCTCTCTTTCTCGTTTTATACAATTCGTTTTATACAATTCACTTTAATTGTATATGTATAGCGAACTATATATATATAAGTTTCTTATGGAACGCAATTATGCAAATTCTACTATAACATATAAATATAAATTTTATATTTGCTATATGTAAAAGTTGCCTAATTATGATTTCATTAAATATGGAGTAATAATATGTGAATAACAAAATGTACGACTAACTAAATAGTAAAAGTCGGTAGTAATTATGAAAAATTGTAATGATTCACTTGCAAAAGAATTAAACGTGCATGCATTTATACTTGGACGATATATTACACGAGATGAAATCAAATTTTACCAAGAATTGGAACTAAAAATGCTATTAAGCCTTTTTAAAAAATATGATCCTTGTTATAAATTCATTAAATGAGTGATAATCCATAATTTAGTACATGAATAACTATCTATATTCAGTAGGTTTTTAAAATCTTTTTGGATAAGAATTTATCTATTTATTATGATACTTAATATGATGACTTTTACAGTGATTTCTTAACCTATAAATAGGGTTATTCATTCACTATTGTATGATATACATATGAGACTTACATACACTTGAATAAAAAGAAAATTCCTCTTCTTTTATCTACTTCTCTTGTCTTCTTTTCTTTATGATTATATTCCTATGAGCTTGATTTTATAATACGTTATCAGCTCGAGTCTCTAGCCAATTGAGAGTTAGTTTTAGTTTTTCCTTAACTCATGTTTTAGTTGATCTCGTTATGAGAATCAAGGTATTATTTGCATAAAAATCAGGTATGTATTTTCTAAATATTTTATGATTTAGAATAAAATAGTATTCAGTCACTAACAATTATCAGGAACCAAAGACATATACAATTATTGGTTGAATATGACATGTTATACAAAACTTCTTAAATGGAAGAAGGTATATATAAAATTTTAATAGCATGAGTTTGAATATTATTTTGATTTTTTTGAAAGACTCAAATGGTAAGTCATATTATACTTCGCTCTATTATACCGTTGGTTAAGGGTAAGACGATGGATTCAAGTTTCATCGCACCAGAAGAGTAAGATATCAGGTTAAAGTCTGGATGCAGCATAATGAAAAAAAAATATTTGAGGGTAAGACGGTAGATTCATGTTTTATCGCACCAAGAGGGTAAGACATCAATTTGAGTTTTGATGCACCATAATTGGGTTCAAGTCTCATAGAATTATACACGTCTTATATGGATAAGACATTGAGTTTGAGTCAATGTACCATAGTGATGATAAAATGATGACTAAGACAAAAATAATATATTTTTAATGAAAATTCTTGAAATTTGTCTCATGAATTTGCTCCATTTGCTAAAACGAATGTGGTAGCAGTATGTGATAAGTTTGAAATCTACCCAACTGCTCCATTCTATCATACGAATGTGGTTGTTGTGAATAATAAATCTGAAAGATGACAAGTGATTGAATGTATAAATAAGGGCGTGGATGAACAAAATTATAAGTCATCAATATGGCTAAATGAAGAACACTATGGGTTCTCCAAAGAGTCCTTCAAAATGTGAAGGTAATTTTTATTATCAAAATGGTATGAAAGGTCATTGGGCTTGCGATCTTGTCGATCCAATATTTTGATAAGTTTTATAAATCCTCCATCAAAATAAAAGAAGATAAAGTGTGGTACACTTGATCTTTCAAAGTGATATTGAGGTGTGTCATGGAAATATAATGAATTTTAAAACCATGACAATGTACTTATAATCCATATAAATGATTAGTCCATTCCTTGAAGAGAATGTGACTTATGATGAGTATCGTGAATGCTCGACCATTCTATAAGAGAATGGGTCAAGATGTGATAAAACATACCCGTGTTGAATATATGCCACAACTCACCTCTATGGAAAGTTTAAAAAAAATGATATATGTCAAAACTCACCTTTACGGGAGGTTTGAGAGGAAACAAATTTTATTTGACAAAAATGGTTAATGGTATTGTACATTATATGTCACTATGGTATATTTATTGTGAACTACCGAAAGGGCAAAAGAAAGAAATAGTTCTTGCCTATAAGAGTTGTGGTCAATATTGTGTGGCAATACAAATTTGTCATTGGTTGTGTACCTATGGTACAACAAAAGTAAAGCAAGAAAGACGTCTTGCTCGTAATGATTTTGACCATGACAATAATAATATAATTTCCTTCTTCAAGGAGATGCTCACCATAGAGATGGTGTCATGCAATATGTGATAGTACACAAAATTAAAATAGCAAGCTCTAACGAGTTGTGTTATTACCAGAGGAATAATAATGGGGTTGTAGTAAGTCTCAAAAGAAACTTTTTAAGTTTCGGATGAATGAAAAAGAAAGATTGAGACTATAAATTATGAAAAGATTTAATATCTTTAAATTACTACAATCGAAGAGGGTTATAAATATTTATGTAAATGATTACACATTTTTTCCTCTTGTTTGTTGCACACAAATGTGGGCATGCTGATGAATTCATATGCAAAAAAAAAAGTAAACTATAAGTGTACTAAAATAATGATCAGTTGACATGACCGGTTGACCATTCTGGTTTAAACGTGATGCAAATGTAATTGAGAATTCATGTAGATTATATGATGAAGAAATAAAAGATTCTTCATAAATTCTCTTGTGTTGCTTGTTTTCATTGTACTAGTTAAGGTTGAGATTGTAATCCCCTATAGTTTTTGGAACATATAAAAAGGTGAATATGGGTCCATTCACCTATCATGTGGATCATTTGCAACTATATGAAAGATGCATCTATGCGATGATCACATGTGTTTTGTTGTTAACTTACAAATTGGTGTTTGTAAGGTTGTTTGCTCGAATTGTTAAATTAAGAGCACAGTTCAAAATTGTGAAATTATATTGATTATGCTGGTTGATTTAACGATAATTGGAGGTCCAATTATCGTTAAATCATGATTATGAGAACAAAACTCCCAAATAAAATTTGGTATGAGATAAATTTGTTTAACATGTAGCAACACATGTATGCATCAAGCCAACAAGGTTTCCCCAGTAAAATTGGTTTAGGGTCAAGAACCATATAATTTTCATATAAAATGTTGAATGTGCGGTTATGATTTTAATTGTTCCATCACGCACAAAAATAAATTTCCAAATAAGATTGGGATGAATGTTAGATTTTTTAACATTAGGGGAAGAGATGATTTGACAACTGAAAATTATGTGAGGTTAATTATGAATTAATAAGATCCTCGTTAAATAAGTATGTGAACTTAAAGTTCAAGAGATAATCTATTTGTATAATGTTATATATCAATTGACAGATGAATGCACTGACCCTATGATTTAATTCAACTGCAAATGCTCCAATGAGAAGTCCTTGAAGGACAGAGTCTATGATACGCTGGAAGCGTAATAGACCAATCAGTTCAAAATATAAAATTCTTTGAAGAAGGAAAGGGGCAAATGATCAATATGGTCATGATAATGAGACAAATTCTATAAGAGAGCACCACGCAATAACACTTCGTAAAACCTCAAAAAAGGTTAAGGTACCTGAAAAATGATGAATATGAAGAGATCTAGATAAGTTATGTCTTGTTGGAATTGATATCAAATAACCGTCGACGTTATCTTTGATATGAGGTATCACTCAATGATATAAATTGTGAAGATGATGTTGAATTCAAATCTGTCATAGAGAGTGGGGTACAAATAAATTATTATGCGATAATATATCCATAAGATATCAAGTACGACTTGTGCATTGGGGTATAATGGTTTGTCGCAAGAATCCTGATATTATTGGAGATGTTTCTCCTATGGTGGATGCAATAAGGTTTGTTTTGATTTGACAACATATGAAAAAGTTGAATGCATATAATGAATAATTGTCATGTCTAGCTATACAATGAAGGTTATATGAAAATCCTTGATGCAATCGAGGTGTCTGAAGTATATGAAAGTTTGAAGGAAGTTTTTCAATAAAGCTTCAAGAATTCTTATATGGAATGAAATAGTCAAGGAAAAAAATGGTACAAAAGAATGACCTTAATTGTCCTTGTATTTTATAAAAATGTCTTGGTAAGACAGAAT